GCCCTGCATCTACCGTAATTTTACCCTTGTGAATCTTATGTTCATTAATTCATTAGCTGAAAAATAATTTGCCCTATTTCAATTTTACCATTTATCACTCTTAATTAATTAACTGAAAAAATAATTAATTACAAGGATATTTTATTGATTTCCTATATTTTTTATTATAACCTATGCAGTTATTGATATTCTTAATATATGCACAACAACAAAAAACGACATATAAAATAAGACGGCTGAAGTATACCCGAATGATAAACAAAATGTACGAGTGAAATAACACATTGACCTTGTTTTTATTGGTAGAGTAAATCATGATTACTTTTGTAAATTATAAATTATTTTGCATATCTCCAAATATATGTTATAAACATAAATAGCTTCTTTTGCCTTTGGACTTACTCTTTTAGCATTATGTTGTGAAAAAAATCACAATTTTCATTACATATAAAACAGTTATACATAAATAATTATAGATAGATAATTGAGAAACATAAATACATTGGTTTTTTTTTTTTTTTTCATGAGTTTTTTATCTTCATTTTTGTTGTTTTTTTATATAGGTTTGAAATTTGCCAAATTTTTATATATAAAAGAAAGGTTTACCCCAGAACCCTAAAAGTATATTTATTTTAAAATATTGTTGTTAAATATTTGTTTCCTTTATTTTACTTTTTAATTATTTTTTTTTTTCCTTCCAACACTAATTTTTCTCTCCTTTTTTATAGCACACATATGTGTATCAAATTTTATTGTTAAAATAAATATATAGATTATGATTGCAATTAGTGGAATGTTTACATTTTCGGTGTTCCATTGTTTTGCTATTTTACATGTCATATATGTTTACTAATTACTAATTTCTAATTTTGCTTATCTTATATTTTTTTTTTCAATATCCACGAGGCAAAATGCTAGTCTTATATATAAAATGAGCTAACCCTATTAATCCTAATTAGCAACCCTTTATTATTTTTTTTTCTCGTATAATATTCTAATTATATAGTTTACTTTTTTTTATTTCTTATCTTCATGAAACGGCTTTCTTTGTTATTCCGCTTTCTTTGTTAACTCATTTGTGTAATTATTATTATTATTTTTTTCTCTTTCTAATTTTCATTTATGAAATGTTATTTCATACATGGCACAAGAAAAATACAAGTTAATATTAAATTGCGGGTGCAATATGATTTTCTAATTTATATGGATATATGTCAATACCCGGTTCGATTTTTAAAACATTGCTTACAAGTACACCGAGTAAATTACATACTTCTTAAAAAAAAAGTAAATTACATACCACGAAAATGGAACTGAATTTTTTAATCCGAGCAATTTTTTGATAGATTTTTTTTTTCAATCTCGAACCAATATTTCGTTTCGAATTCTGAAAATTTTGATTTTTCATTTTCTAATACATATGAGATCTCCATTTTAATTTCCGAAAATAATTCCAAATTTTTTAAATCTCTTGTTCCGAAAAATTACACCTATAATATGAATATCAGTATAGGTGATTTAAAATATAGAAAATCCCGATTTCCCCTGGTAATTATCCGGATAGATATCGATCTTAGAACAAGTTTAATTTGAAGTTTCAAAGTTTCAAAGTTTCTATTGACGAATTTTCCGTTCTGTTTTAATTTGGAAGAATCTAGTTTTTCACTTCCGAAAGAATTGAAAATTTTCAAAATATATTTACAATAGGAATTAGAACACTTCCGAACAAAATTATTTTTTTTCTGCCCAAAAATACCAATTTCGACCTCATCCGTTCGATTTTAATGCCCACCATTTCCAT